GATTGAAAAAGGAATAAAAAGTGAAACTGAGTTTCTGAATATTTTCATATAACTTTATTTCAATTGTCATGACAACGTTTGGATCAGACTGTTTAGTGGGAACATAATAATGACTGAAACTTGTATAAATAATAAACCCCAGCTGTATGACAGTGGTCAGTAAATAATTAAGTCTGGACCAGACCATCCAGTAATGTTGTACGCAACAATCCATTCAGTCGGGGTACGATAACCATGATAACACACTATCAACCAAGTCAGTCTGACCATCCAATCCGTATGGTAGCTTCCTACAACCGTCCTATGTTGCTGGGGACCGGTTCTAACCTGTTCTTCCCACAGGGAAGTGTGTCTGTCTGTCCGCATATGTGTCCATGTGTGTGTGTCTGTCAGTGTGCGTGAATGCCTATCGGTGTGTGTGTGTCTCTGTGGGTGTGTTTGAATGTGTATCTGTCTCAGCCTGTGTGTGTCTGTCTCAGCCTGTGTGTGTCTGTCTCAGCCTGTGTGTGTGTGTTTGAATGCGTATCTGTCTCAGCCTGTGTGTGTCTGTCTCAGCCTGTTTGTCTGTGTGTGTGTCTGTCTCAGCCTGTGTGTGTCTGTCTCAGCCTGCGTGTGTCTGTGTGTGTGTTTGAATGCGTATCTGTCTCAGCCTGTGTGTCTGTGTGTGTCTCAGCCTGTGTGTCTGTGCGTGTGTCTGTCTCAGCCGGTGTGTCTGTGTGTGTCTGTCTCCGCCTGGGTGTGTCTGTGTGTGTGTGTCTGTCTCAGCCTGGGTGTGTCTGTGTGTGTGTGTCTGTCTCAGCCTGTGTGTGTGTGTCTCTGTGTGTACATGCATGCGTATGTCTGTGTGTGTGTGTGTGTGTGTGTGTTTGAATGCGTATCTGTCTCAGCCTGTGTGTCTGTGTGTGTCTCAGCCTGTGTGTCTGTGTGTGTCTCAGCCTGTGTGTCTGTGTGTGTCTCAGCCTGTGTGTCTGTGCGTGTGTCTCTCTCAGCCGGTGTGTCTGTGTGTGTCTGTCTCAGCCTGTGTGTCTGTCTCAGCCTGGGTGTGTCTGTGTGTGTGTGTCTGTGTCTGTGTGTGTCTCTTTCAGCCGGTGTGGCTGTGTGTGTCTGTCTCAGCCTGTGTGTCTGTGTCTGTGTGTGTCTGTCTCAGCCTGTGTGTCTGTGTGTGTGTGTCTGTCTCAGCCTGTGTGTGTGTGTGTCTCTGTGTGTGCATGCATGCGTATGTCTGTGTGTGTGTGTGTGTGTGTGTTTGAATGCGTATCTGTCTCAGCCTGTGTGTCTGTGTGTGTCTCAGCCTGTGTGTCTGTGTGTGTCTGTCTCAGCCTGTGTCTGTGTCTGTGTGTGTCTGTGTCTGTGTGTGTCTCAGCCTGTGTGTCTGTGTGTGTCTGTCTCAGCCTGGGTGTGTCTGTGTGTGTGTGTCTGTGTCTGTGTGTGTCTCTTTCAGCCGGTGTGGCTGTGTGTGTCTGTCTCAGCCTGTGTGTCTGTGTCTGTGTGTGTCTGTCTCAGCCTGTGTGTCTGTGTGTGTGTCTGTCTCAGCCTGTGTGTGTTTGTGTGTATGTCTGTGTGTGTGTGTCTGTCTCAGCCTGAGTGTGACACTGTGTGTATACCGACTCATCATCCAAATACAGATGACACGCCAGGGAAAAAAATGACTTGTTTCCAATAACGTGTATCATGAGTATTTGGGTCAGAAGCTATATGCTCAGTTTATATACATAATACAAAATCATCGGAGTCTGAATCCTGATCAGCTGTACTGATCACATGTTCACAAGTCATCCAACAGAACACCGAGCCACTCCTCTTATCATGAGAATGCTACACATACTTCTGTCTCCAATACCCACAGTTCACCATGACACACCGACGCTGTTATCACCTCAAACAAGCACAGATTTCATGTACCGCATCTTAAGGATGCCCCCTGATCTGTAATCTGAGAATTTAACTTTTTTATTTTGCTCCGAATATCAATCACTGGATTGCCTGGTCCAAGCCCTCGTCAGATAGCTGGGACATTGTTGAGTGAGAAGTAAACAAACACAACCGACTTAATTGAAGGAATAAAGGACAAGCCTTGAAAAGGAGTCTGTATCAAGTCTAAAAATAAACTGAAGTTAATAACAGACTGGGCTCTTAATAGGGGAAATATGGTGCAAGTAAGAATGGGGTTATTTTCCCACACATCCGAATATTTGTCATTAGCGGGGTGGGGTGAGGCATTCAACTGATTCACACTGATTTTTTCTAGGTTTATCAGCACCATACTCAAGCTTGTGGGTTTCACCCAAGTTGTAAACATCTAAGACTCACTCACTCACTCGCTCACTCAAACAATTATACTCAATCACTCAGGCACATATTTTTGTCATTTTGTCAGCTTAAGTCAGTTCACCATATTCATATAGACCAGCCAGGAAAGGTGATTTTTGGGGAATATTTACAACAGTTTGTTAATGTCCAACCCTGTATAAAACATAACCTGGGGTTGTGGTAGGGAACAGACAAATCTTGTATGAAATAACAAAGAAATGTGAGGATTGGATGAATTTAAGCTCTACATCAATAGACATAACGAAAAGTCATTATTGACAACTGTTGGATCACCATGTTAAAGAATTTAAGGATTGACTGTGTATTTTTTCCGGTTCATTGTGGTATGAATCAAGACGATGTGCAAACTGTATGAATTCTTACAAAAGATTGATCCCTGATTACGGTAAAACACAGTAGGAAAAATGCGAGTCAGAAATGAAACCCGAGGACATGAAAGTTGAGCTGAGGCGAGCGGGGAAAAAACAGGCGAGTGAGCCCGCACGTTTGCTGTTTCATTCATTCTCGGCCTTCGGTTTCAAAGGGTTGTTTGGACAATGAATATGCATGAAAGTCGCTGAATGTCCTGTGCATGACGATACACGTGAGCAGAAAGGGAATTCCCTCGACTGTAATATTGGGATACCCCGACATTCCTCAGTAGAAAACGTTGTGCGCCTCGGTGGGCGTGGCTTAATTTTTTACATTCATTGGGAAACGAATGCAATAACAAATTACCAATTCAGCTAATCAGAATGCAGGAATTTCAATGAACACAACGAAAATTTAATTATTGTTCGATGTATGCATCGTGAGACACAGTGTTAAATAATGCCAGGAGTATCCAGCTGCCAATCCATCGCTATGATCAGGGATATTACTGGCATTTTTCTGGAAAATTTCAGGGACAGGCTAATAGGAGAAAACAGCAGCATACAAATTTGGCAATACAGTGCTCCCTCGTTATTGCGCCCTTCAATATAGCGCTAACTCGGTTATAGCAAGCGGTAAAGCATGGCTCCCAAAATTTACAAACATTTTCAATGTATGTTATAATTCCTAATATCATCCTTTTAAATTCAGAGGTATATTAACATTGTTATGTAATAATGTAACACTAAGTATTTAAGTATTTTTCTACTTATGTGTCCCATGACCAACATGTGACCAATGAGTGAGTCTGGTTTTTATTCCACTTTTAGCAATATTCCAACAAAATCACACATCGTAGGTTTGTATGAAAGTAACCACTGCAAAATTAAAACACAATATTCATAACTGGGAAATCTTTATGTTTAATTGCAATTAAGGAATTTTAAAAACCTGTATTTGAAGCAGCAGACGTCGAGAATGCCATGACATACTGACCCCACAATGTGTTTATAAGCCCAAACCCTACTTATACCTACTTGATATTGAAATATTTTGGCTCAGTTAACATGTAAATGATAGAAATGCATGAACAAATTTACAGACACACTTCATTTGACCCCACCTACCACTATTAGCAGCGTTCGAAATACCTGCCTGCCCGACCGTCCGAGACGGGTTGATTTCAACTCGGGCTGTCAGATTTTCAAATCCCCCTGCCCGACGGTCGGGTTATATTTCATAGGTGAAAATATTCTAAATATTTCCCGATGATAAGCATTAATTCACATGTAAAGATGAATGATAAAATGTAACCAAAAAGAAACCCAGTTAGCTTTTAGACAACCTAACATTTAGCGATGCGCTTATGCTACAAGCAATCAGTTTTCATATTTTTAATTAAATAATCCTGAGAAACATATGATTATAGTGGGCAGGCAGGTTTTGGTCAGGGCTGGCAAGTATTTCAGCTAGCCAGTCCTGTGGTCTGGCTGAAATTTTTGGGAGTTTCATACCCTGGTACTATTGGTCTCTCCCTAAAATATACAAGGCTTTAAATGAAATGGAAGGTATACCAGCCTGAACAGTGAAAAATTAGGGCTGGGACAAGTCCAAATTTACTACCCGGGTATCCGACCCCCTATTACCTGAATCGGGTGGTCAGGTGTGCCAAATTGGTTGATGCATGTCATCGTATCCCAACTGCATGGATCGATGCTCATGTCAATCACTTGATTGTCTAGTCCAAACAAACAATCAAACAATAACTGCACTTGATTTGTGACCTACCTTTACACAGGATTGTGTCACTATGTAGCCTAATAAAATGTATACAATTATTGGATTAACAATAACATGAATAACATAGGTAATTGTGAAATTATTCTGATCAGGAACTGCTCACTTTCATTCAATCTGGATAGATAAATAGTGTAACCAAATCTATAACCATATGTCAAATTTGTAATTCTGGAAGTACCAGTGTGTAGATTAGCTTTAGGCCTAGTCAATAAGAAGCTTATATTGACAAAGTTATAACAATCACAATGATTTCTACAAAGGATATGTAACGAAAATTAAATTATCTGTAGCCCTGTGGACCTATATACCTTTGTACTGATCAGACGGACAATGCGTTTATAGTTACCGAGATACCGAGATACCTTGACTTACTGCAGTGACTTGCAGGTACACAAGCACCCCTTGCGTACCCTTGCATCCATTTAGACCTTTCATAATGATTAATCTACAGCTCATAAAAGCAGGTTCGATCAATATCGTACATATTATTTCATCATAAAAATGCAATAAACGTTTACCTTACTCCTTAAGTGCCAACAAGAAACGCTGAAACCTAATCTTTTCTTTCCGAAAACACAGCGATCATGTGTTGATGACAGTATTTTGTACCTAATCATGATCACATGATCTAGTCACATGACAATAAAAACACAGGTGAGAGCTCCAGACACTGTTAGGCTAGCGACAACGGCTTGTCGAAGGTGTGCGTTAGGAAATTTAATGTTTGGGAAAAGAATATTTTCTTTCGATATTTCATTCTGTACCGTTCAATGTGTAGAATTTCAGATATTATAATCACTTTAACAATACCATTCTACAAGCAGCATTGATTGTCATAAAGAGGCTGGATATCTAACTAATGAGAAATAGTATAGATAATAAGCTTCTTCATTATGGAAATGAAAAAGCAGACTCACTGGCGAAGCTAGCTCTAGACAATGCAGGTATACAGCCTATTCCCTTTAGTAAACTAGAGATAAAAAGCAAAATCAAAGCCTCCATAGCAGAAAGATGGCAAGCCCAATGGGACGCATGTAAGATCGGCAGATGGCTATACAAAATTCAACCCAAGGTCCAACAAAAGCCAAACTCATACTCAAATGAAAGGGAAATTGAAATTGCTATCTCACGCCTCAGACTCGGTCACAAAAAGCACCATGACAAGGTTTGTTCATCTTGCAATCAGGCCGAAACCATTGCTCACGTGTTACTAGAATGTCAAGACCATGCCCCAGCCCGGGCTAGGTTAAAACAAGAATTGCAGTTAGATCCGCTATCTGTCATAGATCTCCCAAAGACGTATATAGAATATATATCTAGTATGTATATACGTCCGTGGATCTCCTAAAGCCAAGAGATGCAATAGCGAAGGCCAAACTAACCCTATTTCTGAGAGATGGACAGCTACTCGAACGTATATAAACAGAGCATCCAAGGATAAAAATGAAATCTTATCAATATAAGAAAATAGAAATCATATCAATACAAAAACAGAAATGATGTGAATACCAAACTCACTAAAGATATGTGTACCCTACTCACACACAGGAGTCCCAAAGAGGGACAGGTCAGCCGAAATTGCTTAGGCAGAAGGCGACCTCTTAAACACTTAATCCAACAACAACTTGCAGCTTACCCATTGCAGCGATAGTTGATGGACATTCTAGCAGCATTACCAGAGATTTATCAGTGGTCCGCCATAATAATCTAATATATTATATTTATGGACCGCATTGACAAGCCAAAATTGCCCCCGTTGTAGTGAATATACAAAAATAAACTCATGTTGTCAACACCGGGTCAGATTCCACGAAACCTTCTAATTGAAATATAGAAACACAATCCAAATAACATCAGAGTCTATTCTTTTCCGGCATAATGACCTCTAACGATATTCTCCTTACCAGAAGCGCGGCTGTCACGCGCTGCAGTGGAGCCTTCCTTCTATAGACTGGTTCCTGGTTGTATTTGCTATGCAACACTCTTATAATGCGGATTCCTTCCTTTCGCGATCTCGCGAAGAGGATGGTCCCCAGTACCTTGTGATTGTGGGAAGTGGGGATCAGTTGGCCAGCCTATGTCTGCACGTAACTTGGCTGTGCATGTAACCGTACCTTGTGATTGTAAGAAGTGGGGATCGGTTGGTCAGCCTCTGTCTGCGCGTGACTTGACTGACTGCATGTAATCGTACCTTGTGATTGTAAGAAGTGGAGATCGGTTGGTCAGCCTCTGTCTGCAGGTGAATTGACTGACTGCATGTAACCGAACTTAGTGATTGTAAGAAGTGGGAGTGGGGATCGGTTGATCAGCCTCTGTCTGCACGTGAATTGACTGACTGCATGTAACCGAAATTAATAATTGTAAGAAGTGGGGATCGGTTGGTCAGCCTCTGCCTGCACGTGAATTGACTGACTGCATGTAACCGAACTTAGTAATTGTAAGAAGTGGGGATCGGTTGGTCAGCCTCTGTCTGCACGTGACTTAACTGTGCATGTAACCGAACCTCGTGATTTTAAGATGTGGGGATCGGTCGGTCAGCCTCTGTCTGCGCGTGACTTGACTGTCTGCATGTAACCTCGTGGTTCGTCCCTCATGCTGTCAGTGCGTCATTCCAAAAGACGTTTAAAGATGGTACTTGTTGTTACCCTGCCTGGCGCTCGGCATTAAGGGGTAAAACAAGGACTGGTCGGCTCGGAGTTAGTTCACTGTCTCTGAGTGGGGTATTCATGTTAAACTGCGTCGTGGTATCTCAGTGGGCGAGCACTATAAAATCGGCTTTAGTGCGGACCAGTACAAGCAACCACACACAAACACACACGTGCAAGCACCTCGCTAAATAACTGCAATAATCTTAATTGAACGCGATTTAAAACCCCATTTCACCTCACCTCACCTGGTTGACTGGCTTGTTTACACTAAACGCAGCGAAGCTAGAATATTGCTGTCACAAGCAGTGGAAAACAACACTCACTCACACGTTCAACCTGTTCACTATCAGTTTCGATGAAGACAATGTTACACATGGACGGTCTAGTGGCCATTTTAGATCCATTTGTAATTTGTGGCATGTTTGAAATTCAGACATTGTCTATGTGTATCAACTGTGTACAGATAAGATCAACTTTATTATCCCGAAGTATCTTTTTCTCGCAACGTAAGAATCTCAGCAGCAAAATAAACAAACACATGATTGTTTGTTTGTTGTTAATGCCGAACTCATCTATATTCCAGCTATTAGACAGCGGTCTGTAAATAATCGAGTCTGGACCAGACAATCCAGTGATGGACACCATGAACATCGATCCACGCAACTGGGATACGATGACATGCATCAACCAAGTCAGCGAGCCTGACCACCCTATCCCGTTAGTCGCCTCTTACGACAAGCATAGTCGCCTTTTACGGTAAAAATAGGTTGCAGGCCCATGTACCACCGAGCATTGTGATAGTAGCTGACACAGGGGGCTAATTTCTAATGTAAACTTGTTTTAACTTTTCACAATTATTGGTGTTTGTAAGAGACAATGTGAGTTTAATTTCATTTATTTTACTTCAAAGCATATACTGTTTTCACAATAAGTTAGTTGCGCCTCCCAATCAGAGTCGGCGAGTAAATTGGAGTAGGGGGCTAATTTCTACTGTAAACTTGTTTAAACATTTCACTATTATAAGTGTTTGTAAGAGACGATGTGAGTTTAATTTTATTTATTTTACTTCAAGGCATGTTATGTTTTCACAATAAGTTGAGTTGCGTATAGGCTAAGTTGGAATATAGTTGGAGTAGAGGCTAAATTCTAATGTAAACTAGTTGTAACATTTCGCAATTATTGGTGTTTGCAAGCGACCATGTAAGTTTAATATCATTTATTTCATCAAGGTTAAAACAAATAGGGTGCCGTTTTCGCCAGGCAATAGTAGCCGTTTTCGCCTGAGGCGAGGTGACGTTTTCACCAATAGGTGCCGTTTTGCTGAGGTGCCGTTTTATCTATAACCCTTCTACCCTGGATCTTCATGGGTCACAAACACATGAATAATACAATACAAAACAGATATATGTCACAATTATTTTTTAAAAACAACAACATTTGTACCATATATTTGATGGGAAGATTAATAATGCTTCAGCTGTACATGTAATGATGATCGGTATGAGAAGACTGGCGGAACTTGTCAGCTTCGTTTTCGGCACAAGCAGCCGAAATCTAGTTTGTCGTGTATACTCAAAGACGTGTATATCTATATACATCTTTGATATACTATATGTTCCTTTAACTCGAATGTAGGCTGATCATCACGATATGGCTGAAATATTGCCGATGTGACGTTAAATCTATTTTTTTAACTCGCTCACGTAGGGCAGAGACCATATGATATATAGACAATGAATACATTATAAAATCAGTTCACAATTACATCATTGAAACAAACCGCTTTACGTAAGTTTTGTGTCAACTTAAGAATATAAAATGCATTTGTATCTTGCTTTCCATTTTATTTCATGTTGTGTTACTCATTAATGTCTGCTCTATAGACTTCATTACAATCTACATGTATAATGTACAATATTAGGAGAAGCATTAATATAGGCCTTTTTGGCCTGTTTGCTAATCCTTTTTCCATTTTGTAATGCTATTTAATGTAAAATCTGAACATTAATGGAAATAAAATACTGTTTAAATCATATATATGGTCTCTGCGTAAGGTGATGAAAATGCCAGTCCATTCCGATCACCTTCAGCCTTCTGTGATCTAACCATGGTGTGATAAAATCGACATAGGATTCAGAGAGATCATCGTCAATGAAGGTTTACTTTTACGTTACATATTGTGACATAAATGCTAGTCGTTTCTGCGTAGTTATTTTATCTATCACACACAGCTAGAGATACACAATCGCGTGTACAAAAAAGTAACTGAACAGTACTGTGACAATCTATCGCGCTGCAGGGAGTTTGAGAGGTCATCACACGGCATTGACCTTTACCGGAAGTCGCTGTTGTTGACTGACAGAAATGGCGTAGTGTTTTTCTCTCTGTTGGTGAAGAAATATTGGACAATAGCTGTTCTCATGTGACGAAATTGTTGATAACTGCAACAGAGGACACATCGTTTATGTTCTGCTATTCCCACGTATCAAAATGTCAGAAGATTCTAGCGTAGCGCCAGGAGCAGATGTGCGAATATGTAGGCGAATTGACAGACCCGTGACTCCAGAACTTGTGCATCAAGTGCAGGCACTGCCTCCTCAACTAAGTGTAGAGACTGATAGCTTAAGCTCCTGTTCTTCCACACCCGGGGAACATAGTTCACAAGCATCTTTGCCAAGGCCTGTGCGGTCAAGGATCATGCCCGAATCATCTGAGAGAGACATCGAACTGTCGACAGCTCGTCCAGTAAAGGCGAAACGTTTTGTGATTGTTTGCGGTTAGGAAAGGAAATGGATTGCCGATGTGGAGAGGACGATCGCTGTGGGTGTTTCGTTAAGTTTTTTAGCTGGCTTTGTGGTACACGTGTTAAGTAGACAAAGTTCAGAATGTATCAGATCACTGAGAAAAGAGCATAGTTGTAAAATGTCAGGGCAAGTACTTGTTTTTGTATTTTTTATTGCTATGATC